ACAATAAATGAAAAGTTATTGTCAATGTTAAAGTTTCTGCGGAGAAACAGACTGCCAGATAAACAGACAGACATACAGACGGACACGATAAAACTATATACCCCCGAATCTTCGATTACAGGGACAAAAAAAAGAAATGGTCTTCAATTAACTTTTCATATTAAGATACAGTATAAAGAAGACGTTACAAAAATTAAAATGTTTGTTCTGATTTTCATATGAAATTCTCTGAAAAATATACTCAGAACTTGGTAAAAGGGTGGGGTAATGCAAGAATTAAGAAATGTAATGAATACTGTGTGCTTAATCAAAAGGTTATGCCTACACGTATAGTTTTTGCATTAGAATGTGTATTTTACACTAGCCCATAGCTTGATAGAGTATGTTTTAGGTGTTATACCCACCCCCATCCCTTTACTTATATAGGAGAAAGTCGATTATCAACAAAAGCAACAAAAAAAAAACTACCCTACCTTTATTTTTCTATAAGGAGGGACTAAAAATAAGCTTAAAATAATCTACTTTTCTACTAATTGTCAACTGTTACTTTGCCACAGTACTTTTAAGTATACCCCCACCAACATTCAAAGTATTCTTTAATCATGGCGAAGTAAATATTGATATGATAGAACATGCAATTACAGTGAACTCCTCTGAATATTGGTGATTTTTAATCTTTTATTATTCGTATGCATTTTACTTTCTTGTAGGTACTGAAAAACTTTAATTTAGATTCATTTTTCAAAACCAGAACACATTTTAAAACTATCTGAGATAAGTTTAAACTTTACATTTAAACTTTTAATGTAACAAATGTTTTACGCCTTCCTTCAACAAACCTTCCAAATAAAGAAGATATTTCAAATAATCAAATTATAGATAAAATCTATTCCATTTTTTTGCCTGAAAATCACATATTTTGACCAATATATTTCAAAATTAACATTACATTACTGTCCACATCTTTTTCTTTCATTATATTAAAGTACTCGATACTTGTGACTGATCAGCACTTTTAAAAAGTCGTAAAAAGCTTGATTTAGAAATTTTTTTTCAGTACCCCAGATATGTTAATTTAAGTGCAAAAAGGTCACACAATAATTTACGCGCATAAATTTGCAAGATTTTTTCAACGATTAATATAATTTAAACTTTTTTACCTGATATAAGATTATATTTGCTGCCATGATTACATCTGATAAAATATGATAAAGATTAGAGTAATTTACTAGAGAGTTAAAGTTTAAGTGCAAAAAGGTCAACTTAATTGTACCGTAGATCAGTAACAAGCACAATGACCCCCTATTTTCTCTGTAGATGTTAAGTCACGCTCTATGAGTACTTATCGAAAATATACTTCTAAACAATCTTTGATTTAACACATTTCTCGAGTGACATAACTGAAAAAATACAAGGCTTTTAATAAAGTATTGTTCTAGACTGTGTAGATTTTGAATATTATGTTGTCATTTCTGAAATATTTCAATGTGATTATATATTTTTTTATTTTTTTTTTGTTTTCGATTCTCCCTTGTTTGAATTAAAATATTATCTCAAAGTTGTTTTTATTACATTTTTTCTGTATTTTCCTTGAGTCTTAGACAATTTTTCTATAGCTGCAAACAGTTTTAACAGGTTGATTTTCTTAACAGAAACCAAATTGTAAACTTTAAAAGCCACGACTTTTAACACAATATATTCTTTTTGAGATTGACAATTGGTTATAAAAATTGAATTCAATATTCTGAAGAAAATATTTTTCAGGGTGCACTCTCCTTCAGGTACAAATTATTCAGCTTGCAAAGCCTTTCAAATTATGAGCATGTTAAAGTAAACATGTTTTATCGCATGCACATGAATGATTATCGACTGATAAATTTTTGTATATATAAATAAACAATTTGTTGGTTGGTTAAGAGATTTATCGAATTTGTGTGTTTGTAAATGTGTAAACAGTGTCTCTTAAAATTACGCTCGGCTGAGTTCGGGATTGTATTGGTTTGACTATCAATTTGTTTTAAAAAACCATTACCTTGAGACTATGTTTATGGTGCGTGTCTGCTTCTATTTAAAATAAAACTACACAACATGAGTGACCTATTTTTACCCTTTTAAATTAAATGTAGGTCTTGGAATAATAAGAAAGACGGCTTCATTTTAAAGAGGTAAAACTTTCGATACTTTTTTTTCACTACACAACTTATGTCTTAAAATAAGAATATTTTTTTTTAAAAGCATTCAAATTGAATATATATATTAAGTGACTAAATTACAGTCCTCTTATCATACCCTGCTAGATGTATTTTCTTGCTTGAAGGATATGACTTCATTATGCCAATGTATACCATGAATAAATATCTGGGTCTTAAAGGCATTTTTCAATGTTTCAACAACTTTCACCTTAGAATACAGATATTGCTAAAAAAAAACCGGTTGTTTTATTTTCAATTGAATACATATGCATGTTGCAGATGGGTCCTATATTATGAAAGGATTTTAATTTCCGTCCTTACATGTATAATTTATCTATATTATCCAAGGCAACGTGCTTTAAGTTTTATACATTTCAAAAAGAAAACACAGAGATGCTTTCTAGTATTTCAGATTCTTCAATGGACTGCTATTGTAAAAATACCATGTCAGGTTTTTATTCTGTTTACCACTTGCCTTAGCCTTATGACGATGTAACCACCCCACCCACCCCCTCCCAACTTATGGTCTATGAATGATAGTGCAAATGTTGAAAACATTGCTTTATGTATGAACGACTTTGGTATTAGACATTGGTTATGAAAGAAAACTGTTAAATGCCTATTGTACATGTGTTTTAAAAGTTGTTACTGCAAAGTGTAAATTGTCAACATCAGCAGTTTGGTATCTTTAATATGGGTAACACAAATTGTCAAATCATTTAAACATGTTTAAGACCCACACTTGATTAGACTCATAATGAAACAGAAATTGTTTTGATAATTATTAAATCAATTTCTTTCTGGGATTATGGGGCTTAGTAGTATAACTTACTTAAGAAATAAACTCTGCGTTTTCGTGAATGTTGCAGAGTAACCTCTGAGGTCGAGAAATGTTCTTTGAAAGATAAAAGCCGAGGCGTTAGCCGAGGCTTTTATATTTCAAACATCATTTGGAGACCGAGGAGGTAATTCTGCATCATTTACGACTACAAGGACTATTCTACCATGTATACTACAATCGCTAAATTACGGATAATCGTTTCCTCTATAGTGAGACGAATTACGTCACCATGTCTCGACTACGCTGTTTCATTTCACACCAGAGGTAGAATTCGTTTGCTTACCTGTGTATAACATGCAGACAAATTGAGCTTTCGTTACATTAAAAATAGCCTTTTTGAATTGCAAATTTGTTCGAATATGTATTGATCGGTTTAAATAAATATATATATAATAACAAAATCATGTTCCTGTTTTACTGCTAAACTCACGTTGTTTAATGTGTAGGGAGGTCCGTGGAATAGCCCTGCATAGCTGTAAAAACCGAGATTTATCAGCAACTTGATGCAATTTACAGTGTTTATACTGCAAAAGACGACACGTCAATGCGGTCTAAACAAGTATTTCATTCTACAGCCAAACATGCATTTGAATTGCTTATATTTGATAAGTGTTTCTGATCTGATAATTCTTTGATGACGTCCGTGATTTATTGGACAATAATGTCCGCCGGTTTCATTTGATCTTTACAATAATCGTGGTAGAATTCTGATTCAGGTATAGATTTCTAAGCGATAGGAAAATTTGTTAATACAGTAATAGAAAAGTTTTCATAATCTAAATTTATATCTGCAAATCAAAGTTGAAAATAAACCGTTTATGTCGAATGATCTTTACAAATTCTATAAATATATTATAGTGAGTTGCATTTTAAGCTATAATGTACCTGACATCATTTTTTTAAGATTTCAAATTAAATTGATTATCAGTGTTTCATACATTTGTTTCATGATCTCTTACATCACATTGTTCTATTTCTCTCAGATAAAATAACTGGAAAAAGGAAATTATGCAACATGAAAATTTACAAGAAAACACAGTTATCTTTCATCAGTATTTATTTGCAGTTATTGGTGAGTAGAAAAAGATGAAAAACATTATGATTTGTAGCCAAATGAAGGCTTTTTCTGGAAATGCTGTTCAAGGATTACAAACTCTTAAGCACGAAAACAATTCGTTATCAACATACTAGTAGATAATATTTACTTATAATACTCTCTCTCTCTCTCTCTCTCTCTCTCTCTCTCTCTCGCTCTCTCTCTCTCTCTCTCTCTCTCTCTCTCTCTCTCTCTCTCAAAATAGGCTGTTTGTTGCAGACTTGTTGCAAGTCTGTCGCAAAATTGCGGAAAACAACCTTTTTGCAGGAAGAACATTTTCTTGAACCATAATGATTGCGGCTAGCTATCCTTCAACAAACGTTAAATTCATTACTTCAAGCTTACAGAAAATTTCAAAGAAGTCAACAGAAGCATTACAAGAACCATATTCACGTCAATTGATAACATTTATCAAATTAAATGTGTGCAGGAAGAGAGCAAAAACAGGAGAAAAACTCGTCAAATTAACACTTAAAACGAAATTGTACTGAAGTCATCACGGGTTCTTCGAACTTCTGTCAGAGCCAAGCATATTTTACTTTTTAATTATGAAAAGTGTGGAAACATTGCCTTGGAACATAATGAAAGACTACCTACATATTAGAAACTTGCGTCGTTTAGCTTTTTTTTCCCTTAAGTAAGGCCAGTACAAAGGTTTTCCGTGCACTTGTTGCTAAAACACAGGTAAATAATATTAACTGAAATGTTTGATACAAATACACAGCAAAGTTTGCTGCAATTTTCCAACAAAAGTTGCTGAAGTATGAAATATGTGCAGCAATATGTGCAGCAATATTTGTCGAAAGTTGGCAGCAATTTTTTTTAAATTCATTAAATCCAATGCTTACTGTAGACTTGTAGTAATCCTCATATGCAGGTAAAAATTGTTTGCTATAAGCTTGCTGCACACATATCGAACACTTGCTGCAAACACAAAAGCTATATCTAAAAGGTCATGCCTACTTGGAGGAAGACAATCTTTTGTTAAGTATCTTTCTCTCATGTACATTGTCTATATTTTAGGTAAAATACAGTACATCTGTTTCTCATCTAGACTCTGAATTTTGTGGTGTATCAAAATTAACAAGACTAGTAGTTGAATCTTGCCCGGTAGATGAAGAATCATGGGATAAGGCTTCCGAGGCATTGAATTGTCAGCAGTATGAAGGGAAATGTACAGGGACCTTAAAATATCATTGTCTTATCAATCCTTGGCAAAATATAACAGTGGCGGTATGTGCTCCATCTACACGTATCCATTCAGGTATGTGTAATGACTATTTTTGATATATTATTTTTATCATGGCATCCTTTCATCGTTTACAAGGAAACATTTCAAACACTGTTTGGCGAATTTTTAGGTCTTCTTTGTCATATTAAGCAAATAAACATTTAAAATTTTTATCATTATTATTAATATCTTTAATTTAGACAAATACTCGACTTACTGAGTATATGTCTTGTTGTTGATAAGTATTGAAAGGATTCATTACAAACTTTGAACTACATGTATATAAGAATTTACAACATAAACTCGTGAACACATTTTATTAATTTATTATAAAGGAAATATATGATGAGCTAAAGAACAGGATATGGCGACAGCTAAATTTGCTGATGTCACAATTGTCAAATTATGTTTTAAAGTACAGTTACTTGATGAATATAATGCTGTGTCCATTTTTTTGCAATGGGAAACCCAAAATATGTGTCGGATCAAAAAGTAAAATAGGAAGTATAGATAATTGCAATATGTAACTAGAAAGTCTACTATTGGAAGCAATAGCTCATATCGTCCCGAACTGGACAAGATTTTTTTTTTCTTAACGAAAACAATACCCATTAGCTAAGCTTGGATAACCATCAACTTGCATCAGTTTTTTTAGTACTTTTTCACTTTTCCCCAGATTCCATGGCAAGTTTTGACAATTTGCAATTTTTAAATGCAACACGCACAATTACATATACTAATCATGAAATCAATGAAGTTTCACTACAAATGTCTTTGTGACAAGAGAGAACGTTCGTGGACAAAATTCGTCGTTTTTTTCGGGTTTCCATGGCAACGGTAGCATTTTTGAAACTGAATGACCACAAAACACAACTACAACCAGGAATCCTGCTTTGAGGTAAGTTTCAGGAAGATTGTTTCAGCCATCTCCGACAAACAGCTTGTACAACAAAAACATGCGCACAATCGCAATAATTAAAGATTTAAAGTCTCATCAAATTTTATTCAGTAGTATGAGAGGAGTGGCGGGTATGGGTACCAAAAAGCGTAAAGGACGGACGGACGAACGGGCAGACGGTTGAACGCACAGACGGATGGACGAACATTCCAATGACTGTATAAAAAAAACAACATCATGTGTATCATTAAGTAAATACTGTAACAGGTATCCACTTTATTTAATTCAATATACAGATAGTGTATAAAAATCCATTAGATCACCGGCGATCGCGTTGTTTTTATACCCTCCGCTTAAAAGCGGGAGGGTATATAGTTATCGGGATGTCCGTCTGTTACGGTTCGGGATACCCATATCTTATCTGCAAATCCGCTCATACGTCTGAATGAAATTTAATGAGATATTAAAAGAATTAATGTAACATATCTCCATTGTGTATCTTCTACACTTGTATTCTACTTTTTGATCCGATGCATAATTTGGGTTTCCCCATAGCAAAACATAAATACTGCCAGCATAATGTTAACCATCTTTTATTCGCGTGCGAAAAATATCCACGACTTCCGCGATCTCCCTTAACTCGTGAATATATATTGCCACAATTCATTCATTTGCTAAGGATGTGTAGAGAATGTTTCCTCGGCAGCGGAAATTAATCGTCGCGAATTGATTTTAAACTGACGAATCGCGTATAAAACATGACGCGGGTAATCGTTGGTTTATAGTATTCCTATGGATGGCGGTGGTATCATTTAGTGAGCAAAGTACTCTAATTTGTTAGATATATCTGATATTGTGCACAAATAGTTTCTGTCAAAAAGTGAAAATTATGGTTGAGGTAATGCTGATAATCTAAATAAATTCTAAACAAACTACACAATCTAAGCACAAAAATCAATTATCAATTCTATAATCGAAAAATTCGAAAAAAAATAATCTTAAAGTCAGACGACACGTTTCTCAAATATATGTTAAGTAAATCTTGGTATTATATAAAAAAATATTCATATTTGTCATTCTCTGATTTCTACAAAATCAAAATGTTTTTAAATATAAGTACACCAAAATTTGTGTTATAGACCATTTAGAAGATTACCCATAAGGGTTATATAAGAAATATGACCCTATGGTATCTTGGCCAAATGCCTGATAAGGTACCCTAATTTTTTGTGAGGAAACATGTTTAAGGACCTTTACTTTAATGACAAATTCGTAGGAAAAATAATATATTTTTGAGGAACGTGTCGTCTGACCTTAAGTTGAAAAAGGTATAGTTCTAAGGAAACAGAGTTCATCTGCTTTTCAATTGATATTTTTTCTGAAGTAATGTTATTTATTTTAGGTTACTGTGCAGAATACAATGCTAGGGGAGGTAAAATCCAGGAATTTTATATTCCTACCTGCACGTCATGTATAAGGGACTACATGTCGACGGACGCATACATGTGTACGTTAAACTATTTCAAATTTGTTAAGCATGTCACTGTGTTAATACATTTGTGCATAATGAAGATTCTAGTTAATAATCAAAATGGAAAGACCATTTCATTAATTTATAGATTTTTATATATACCTAGTATTTCAAAAATAACATGTTTTATTCTCGCCAGACCAAGAATGCTATGAACAAGTATATAAAAAGACAAATATAAGAAAGAGAGGAGGAAATCAAACGGAAAAACTGCATCAATATCTTGACGAGCAGTTTGAACCTAGGTAAAGTTTCATTTCAGTTAACCATTTCTTTTTAAATTCTATAAGAATAGTATTATTTATTACACCCCCACTCCCACCCCTGCTTGAAAAATACAGTGAAAACTGTCTAAACTGACACCTGTGTAACCCAACACACTGTGAATTCCGACATCTAATTTCGTTCACATTTTACTTATTTCCATGTGTCCTATCACTGTGTAATTCGACATTCTGTCTATTCCGACACGAAATTTGTCACCAAGTGCATGTCGGATAAGACGGGTTTCACTGTATAGTGATCGGGATTTCTGTATTTACGGTCGTCAATTAGTCTCTTACCTTTTAGGCTACCAATCTCTTATCCAAAACTTCTCTTATGCATGTACCATTGAAGGAAATTTAACGAAATCTCATAGATTCTTTACGATACAGTTCCATTGTGCACCTCCAATTTTACTTTTTGAACGGTCATGCATTTCGGATTTCCCATAGCAATGCATTTTTCTATAATATGGATGGGTATCCATCTCTTTTCTGCAACCCCTGTTAAACTACTGGGTAAAATTGATTGATACTTTCACAGTATCTTTATAACACAGGTCTAATGCCACTGTGCATCTCAAATTTTACTTTTTGATCCGACGGTTATTTTGGGTGTCCCAGAGCAATAAAACATGTGAAACGGAAATTGGTTTTGTGATTTAGTTTCGTTTTAACGTTTTACCTACGTTCTTATATAAATTCTTAAACACTAAAAAATATTAATTCTCAGATCATACAAGTAGTATGAAACTGACTGTGTACGGGGACTGGCTGCACTGAGGTAACACATGCCGTGTTGCAGGAACTCAGGGGACCTCTCTGGTGACGGAGTGGATAAACATTAGCTTGTTTCTTCTTTTGCATACGGTCATAAGACCTGAATAAGGCAGACGGATGCAGGGGATAAACGGCTAAGTGTTTCACAGTACACCAATGTACGTAAGACCTGAATAAGGCAGTCACTTGGTTGTAGAGAGAGGTGGCATACCACAGAAGTGGGGGAAGTGCCAAGATGCAGCAGTACTTGTGAAGTGGCAGTACCGAAGTAATTCATTTGCGGGAGACACCCGTTGACCACAGTTAGTGGTCGTCCAATCAAGAAGAAATCCAATGTATATATTTGATTGTGATTATAATTTTATTTGGTCAACAAAAACCTGAGTTAACAGGTTAACGAACCTAAGTGTAACGCCTCGGTGATACAAGCCATATCACCAAACACCCAAGCTCGGCCGCGTTGCACGTTACATTATTTGGTGGCAAGCGTCGGGATTTTGTTGACCATGGATTCGTCTAAGAAATTGCCAGAAACCATATGGCGGATGGAGAAGATCTTAGAGAGGATGAGAACGCCAAACAGCGACGGTGGTCAGACAAATGCGGCAAGCCAAGAGTCTGGATATGCAACACACAGAACTGACAATCAACCGGCCGGTATGTCAGGAGATGTGTCATTTGACGAGTACGGCGCACGGCCTAAAGTTAGATTTCCAGACGAAGGCAAACCAAGCTTAACACCACATGCTGGGGTTGACGACGTTGTGACGGGCCATCTGTTTGACACAACAAAACCACGGAGACAGTCAATAGGGACGGACAATGCCAAGACAGGCCATATAATCAAGCCAGCCACGTATGACGGAACCAGCTCCTGGCTTGACTACAAATCACATTTTGAGGCCTGTGCTGGTGTAAACGGCTGGACGGAAGATAAGAAAGGTCTTTACCTGGCTGTTTCACTGCGTGACCAAGCACAGTCAGTGTTAGGTGACTTACCAAGTGATACTGGTCAGCACTATAAGACACTGGTCAGATCCCTTGAGGAGAGGTTCTACCCTCCTAACCAAACAGATCTGTATCGTGTTCAGCTTAAGGAACGAAGGCAAAGAGCATCTGAGTCCATACCAGAGTTAGGTCAGGCCATTAGACGACTAACCAATTTGGCCTACGCATCAGCACCTGGTGATGTGCGAGAAACTCTGGCCAAAGATGCATTCATAGATGCCTTGGTAGATTCAGAGATGAGGATCCGCATAAAACAATCTCGTACTCAAAACCTGAATGAAGTCATCCGGCTAGCCGTTGAACTCGAAGCTTATAATCGAGCAGAGAGCAGAAACTTAGCAGGAAAAGGCCATTTACGAGTATCGGCACCAGAGCACTCATCTGCTGAGGTTAGCCAGAAGAATCTTGAGACATGGATGAAGTCCATGGAGGCTAACATGAGTACCTTAACCAACGAGATTCGAAAACTGAAGCTGAATAAGTCAGTCAGTAAAACCTATGACAAACTAGTGCTAATTGTAACGGGGACCGTTACAGATGTTCCCCAAACGCTCCCCAACTCTCTTTTTGTGCCATATTACCTGTAAGCTTCATTAAATGAGACAAACTCTATGTTTTTGAGACTTTAACATTTACCTGGAAGTGTACGAAGTTCATTCAAATTTCAGCATTGCATGCGTGCGCATGCGAATGCCTGTGCGTAATGACCATATCATTTTGTCTACACAATCCATATATTTTAACAAACTAAAAATTAAAGTATTTTATCCAAAAGTAATAAAAATACGCTCATTCAAGTGTATTTTTGATTTTGTTCATTTCACGTGCACGCACGTGCATACATGAGCACGGTGGCCATACCTTCTTGTAGAAGATCATTACATCTATCTATGTTCTAAATCCCACACCATATGGTTGAAAACCAAGGGCGTTATACCTGTTAAAAGTTTCAGCCAATTAGATTGCAGCACACGTACACGCACGTGCGCATGTGCATGGTGACCATACCTTTCTTGTAGTAGTCCATTATATCTATCTATGTTCCAAATCCCATCCTGTTTGGTTGGAAACCAAGGGAGTTATAGCTGTTTAAAGTTTCAGCCAATCAGATTGCAACGCACGTACATGCACGTGTATCCATGTGCATGGTGACCATACCTTCTTGTAGTAGTTCATAATATATATCTATATTTCAAATCCCATCGTCTTTGGTTGAAATCCAAATGAGTTATAGTTATTTAAAGTTTAAGCCAATCAGATTGCAGCGCACGTGCATGCATGTGTTTTCATGATAATTGCTATATATCATATTGTAGGATATCCTAATGCATGGCTATAATCAAAATTTCAAAGCATTTCGTCAAAAGACAAAAAAGATATTGAGATTTTTGTTTCAGCCAATCAGAGTGCAGCGCACGTGCATGCGCGTGAGATCTTGCTATTTTGACCATGTCATATTGTCTATACTTCTAATGTATCCTTATATAATGAGTTCTAAAGCATTTCATCAAAAATTTAAAAAGTTACATCTATATCAATGTAATCGGTCATTTATCATGTTGCACGTGCGCGCTCTTGCAAGCACGTGCGCGCAAAATGACCTTCGTTCCGCAAATCTACATTAAATGTCTACTGACCCTAAAAACATTTCACCTTAGTCTGATGTGTAGTTTACAAGATCACTCGCGGACAAAATTTTCCCAGGAAGAAAAATAAGAATAATAACTAGATACGATCTCGTTGCGAGCAACGAGTGGGTCTTCCGTCCGATTCTTGATAAGATGAGATAAAATTTTGATTGAGATTTTCATTCTAAAATAATGATTTTCCATAATCTGAAAAAAGACATTGAACATTAAAGACTTTTAAAAAATCGACCTTTGGCCCCTCACGGCCCCAAACATTAGAAATCAGCCCATTTTTCTTCATATCATCTGAAAGCTCTCATGATTTTGATGACTTTTTATTCAACAACTATTCAAAGATTCTTTTTCGTTTTTGAGTTATTTGCATAAGAAATATTTAGTGGCCAGCCCTTCAACTCCTTAATGGGGACGTTTGGCGAACGATAAAAGGTTGCATATTGTTTAGAACATGATTTTGAACATCTTTTGTTCAAAATTACTTGTCAAAATATTTCTCACTTTCGAGATTTAAAGCATCAAAGATTTAGCATTCTGCCCCCCCCCCCTTTTGGCCCCTTATCATGTAATATACGATATTAAAATCATAATATACAGTTGTAGATTGTTGAGATAAACATTTTTGCTTCAGTAATGTATAACAAAATATTGACTGTTAAAGAGTTCGAAAAAAAGACTTTTAGTCCCCTTTGACCCCTAATTTGAATGCACAGCCCCTTCCTCTTGATTTCATCTTAAAGCGCTTAGGATTTTGAACACTTTTTGTTCAATAACCATTCAGAGATTTTTTTTCGTTTTCGAGTTATGTGCAAAAGAAATATTTAGGGGCCAACCCTTCAACTCGCTAATGGGGACGTTTAACGAAAAATGAAAGGTTGCATATTGTTCAGAACATGATTTTGAACATCTTTTGTTCAACATTACTTGTCAAAATATTTCTCACTTTCGAGATATAAAGCATCAAAGATTTAGCATTCTGGCCCCTTTTGGCCCCTAATCATGTAATATACGATATTAAAATCATAATATACAGTTGTAGATTGTTGAGATAAACATTTTTGCTTCAGTAATGTATAACAAAATATTGACTGTTAAAGAGTTATCGAAAAAAGACTTTTAGCCCCTTTTGGCCCCTAATTTGAGTGCCCAGCCCCTTTTTCTTGATTTCATCTTGAAGCTCTTAGGATTTTGAACACTTTTTGTTCAACAACTATTCAGAGATTTATTTTCGTTTTCGAGTTATTTGCAAAAGAAATATTTAGGGGCCAACCCTTCAACTCCCTAATGGGAACGTTTAGCGAAAAATGAAAGGTTGCATATTGTTCAGAACATTATCTTAAACATCTTTTGTTCAATATTACTTGTCAAAATATTTCTCACTTTCGAGATATAAAGCATCAAAGATTTAGCATTCTGGCCCCTTTTGGCCCCTAATCATGTAATATACGATATTAAAATCATAATATACAGTTGTAGATTGTTGAGATAAACATTTTTGCTTCAGTAATGTATAACAAAATATTGACTGTTAAAGAGTTATCGAAAAAAGACTTTTAGCCCCTTTTGGCCCCTAATTTGAGTGCCCAGCCCCTTTTTCTTGATTTCATCTTGAAGCTCTTAGGATTTTGAACACTTTTTGTTCAACAACTATTCAGAGATTTATTTTCGTTTTCGAGTTATTTGCAAAAGAAATATTTAGGGGCCAACCCTTCAACTCCCTAATGGGAACGTTTAGCGAAAAATGAAAGGTTGCATTTTGTTCAGAACATGATTTTGAACATCTTTTGTTCAATATTACTTGTCAAAATATTTCTCACTTTCGAGATATAAAGCATCAAAGATTTAGCATTCTGGCCCCTTTTGGCCCCTAATCATGTAATATACGATATTAAAATCATAATATACAGTTGTAGATTGTTGAGATAAACATTTTTGCTTCAGTAATGTATAACAAAATATTGACTGTTAAAGAGTTATCGAAAAGACTTTTAGCCCCTTTTGGCCCCTAATTTGAGTGCCCAGCCCCTTTTTTCTTGATTTCATCTTGAAGCTCTTAGGATTTTGAACACTTTTTGTTCAACAACTATTCAGAGATTTATTTTCGTTTTCGAGTTATTTGCAAAAGAAATATTTAGGGGCCAACCCTTCAACTCCCTTATGGGGACGTTTAGCGAAAAATGAAAGGTTGCATATTGTTCAGAACATGATTTTGAACATCTTTTGTTCACAATTACTTGTCAAAATATTTCTCACTTTCGAGATATAAAGCATCAAAGATTTAGCATTCTAGCCCCTTTTGGCCCCTAATCATGTAATATACGATATTAAAATCATAATATACAGTTGTAGATTGTTGAGATAAACATTTTTGCTTCAGTAATGTATAACAAAATATTGACTGTTAAAGAGTTATCGAAAAAAGACTTTTAGCCCCTTTTGGCCCCTAATTTGAACCCCCAGCCCCTTTTTCTTGATTTCAACTTGAAGCTCGTAGGATTTTGAAGACTTTTTGTTCAACAACTATTCAGAGATTTTTTTTCGTTTTCGAGTTATTTGCAAAAGAAATATTTAGGGGCCAACCCTTCAACTCCCTAATGGGGACGTTTAGCGAAAAATGAAAGGTTGCATACTGTTCAGAACATGATTTTGAACATCTTTTGTTCAACATTACTTGTCAAAATATTTCTCACTTTCGAGATATAAAGCATCAAAGATTTAGCATTCTGGCCCCTTTTGGCCCCTAATCATGTGATATACGATATTAAAATTATAATATACAGTTGTAGATTGTTGAGATAAACATTTTTGCTTCAATAATGTATAACAAAATATTGACTGTTAAAGAGTTATCGAAAAAAGACTTTTAGCCCCTTTTGGCCCCTAATGTGATGAGTCAGCACTTTTTTTTGATATCGTATTAAAGATCTTTACATTCTGCACAAATTTTGTTCACTATGTCTTAACAAAATAATTATACTTTAAAAGATATAATACAAAATGTCTCGAAAATTCACTCAGGATTCGTGTCCTAGATTTTGACCCCTACCGAGCTTCCATATTAGACCTTTCTGAAAAAATTTAAATCCAATCTGCAAATCAGCAATGTGTCGTCTATCATCGCTGAAAATTTCAGCTCTCTAGCTAATGTCGTTTTTGAGATTACTCATGGACAAGGAGACCCTCTAAAAATCACTGAAAGGGCGATAACTTCCAACCGGAAGTGATTTTTTCAAAATTGAGCCGGGGGTACAAATTTCAGATAGAAACACATAATCCTTGAAAATTTGAACAAAATCGATCGAGCCGTCTTCGAGAAATCTTCTGCACAAAAATTGTAAAGAAAAAAAAAAGAATAATAAAAGTGAAGAAGAAACAATAGAATAATAGAAGGGTCTTCCGTTGGAGACGGAAGACCCTAATAATAAAAAACAGAGTAAAAACAATATGTTCCCCAACTTCGTTTGGGGAACATAACAAGCGAGAGGCAAACCATTGCGTTGTTATGAGTGTAACAAGGAAGGTCACATAAAACGCAACTGCCCAAAGCTGAAGAAACGACCTTATGAAGGTGAACACAAGGATTCAAGAGAGAAAAAGGGATTAGGCAGGCCAGTACGAAGAAAACAGACGTCAGCCTGTCCTAGTGGATCAATTGGTGTTGGATCTTCCCTAGATGAAGCAGGCTTGTACATAGTTGTAAATATGTAAATAGTTAATCATATGCGGGACGCATATAATCTTGAGGGGAGGGTAATGAAACGGAAATTGGTTTTGTGATTTAGTTTCGTTTTAACGTTTTACCTACGTTCTTATATAAATTCTTAAACACTAAAAAATATTAATTCTCAGATCATACAAGTAGTATGAAACTGACTGTGTACGGGGACTGGCTGCACTGAGGTAACACATGCCGTGTTGCAGGAACTCAGGGGACCTCTCTGGTGACGGAGTGGATAAACATTAGCTTGTTTCTTCTTTTGCATACGGTCATAAGACCTGAATAAGGCAGACGGATGCAGGGGATAAACGGCTAAGTGTTTCACAGTACACCAATGTACGTAAGACCTGAATAAGGCAGTCACTTGGTTGTAGAGAGAGGTGGCATACCACAGAAGTGGGGGAAGTGCCAAGATGCAGCAGTACTTGTGAAGTGGCAGTACCGAAGTAATTCATTTGCGGGAGACACCCGTTGACCACAGTTAGTGGTCGTCCAATCAAGAAGAAATCCATTGTATATATTTGATTGTGATTATAATTTTATTTGGTCAACAAAAACCTGAGTTAACAGGTTAACGAACCTAAGTGTAACGCCTCGGTGATACAAGCCATATCACCAAACACCCAAGCTCGGCCGCGTTGCACGTTACACATGGATTCTGCCATTATATTCATATTGGAGGCGGGGGGCGGGAAAAGCATTTAGTGCATAAGCTAAGTGTTCACAGTATTTTTAACTCACCCGAGCGGAAAGCTCAAGTGAGCTTTTCTGATCACGTTTTGTCTGCAGTCTGTCCGTCTGTTTGTATTTTTTTTTTCATTTTCGATTTCTACTTTAGTACGTACCACTTGGCCAATTTTAACTAAACTTGTCACAATTTAAAGCATCCTTGGGTGAAGGTGATTCAAGTTCGGTCGAACGAGCCCCCCCCCCCCCCCCTTCCCCTCAATTAAAAGGGAGATAATTGAAAATTGGTGAAAAATTGGCGGCATGTTTAAAAAATCTTCTTCTCAAGAACCACTGGCCAGGAAAGATGAAACTTATGGATAAGCATCCCCAGGTAGTGTAGATTCAAGTTTGTTCAAATTATGACTCCCGGGGTTAAGGTGCGGCCACAAGGACGATCAAAGTTTTACAAAGAAATACATATAAGAAAAATTCTGGAAAATCTTAATCTCATGAACAAAGCAAAGCCATGATTGATCGTACTTATATAAAAGCATTTTCAGGTAGTATATACTAAAGTTTGTTTAAATCATGACCCTTGTAGGTAGGGCGGGACCACAAGGGACGATCAAAGTTTTACATAGAAATATATTTATTTAGAAAATTCTTTAAAATCTTTTTTTCAAAAATGCCAAAGCCATGATTTACATGTATCATACGTATATGGAAGCATCCTCAGGTAGTATAGATTCAAGTAAGTTCAAATCATGACCCCTGCAGATAGGATGGGGCCAGAAGGGGTTGTCAGTTTTAAATAGAAATATATAGGAAAAATCTTTTAAATTCTTTTTCTCAAGAAAACCAAAGCCATGATTGGTCAAATTTATATGGAAGCATCCTCAGAAAATGTAGATTATATTAATAATTCAAGTATCAAGTAACTGTCCAAATCTTAGTCTCCTCCCTTTGCCACAGTGCTCATGTGATCGATGTAATCAATGGGCCTCTTGTCTGTTTAAACAAATGAGATTAAAATAATTGTTTACTTCAATTTGTGTTCAAGATCTAATTCTCCCGTGTAAATTGCTTCTTCAGTTTCGTTCTCTTTTTACACAGAGTTGGAGCACTTGGAGATCTAAGTGATGGAAGCAGGGCCAGAAACAATAGATACACCTTCCTTACCATTTTCTTACTTTGCATAATGACTATCCTTTAAACTGATAGTTTTGTTAATATTATTATTAACATCTTGATTTTCAAAATATTTTTTTTCTTTAAAATCTGTTTGAAAGTTACGTCTGTTATTATTCTAACATTTAAAATTGGATGTAAATCGGGCAGAGTAAATGTAAATCCTTGTCAGCTAATCAATGAGTACATTTAGTTCCTATCCGGACTTCGAGGATTAAATAAGGAATTCCAGTATCAACTGAATATCAACTTCAGAGTACGTGTGTGTAGAATCAGACTGATTATAAATGTTTTAATTTGAAAACTACAATTATTACAACCTGCGATAAATTTTTAGTCTTGTTTTTATTGAAGAAGTCGTTTATGCTTTAAAATTTTTCTTTATTTGTAATTAAGAATTGTTTTAAAGGGTGTTGAAAATGTCGTGCAAATTGATGGTTCAGATTTTTCTGTCAGTTTTTACAGTGTTTCCTGCATTAGGGACTTTTTACGATCATTGATTTAACATATTAACTGTTTTCACGTTTAACTATTTTACGTGTCCCGTGGAAAACAAATATCCTTACAAATGCCTTATTTGTTTAAAGTTACATTAATTGGACAAAATATAAGGAGATAAGGAACAGTAAATATTCAAGCTCATAAGTCGATAAAATACTACAAAATAGAAGCGGAGCAAACACGGTCCTCCAAAGCATCAGGTTGGATCGATCATTTTCTATGAAGGTGTGAGCATCCCCCACCGACCGGTCACAAATCTGTCATGTGATCATTGTCATAATCAGAAAACAACGAAAAACTTCGTCGTTAATTCAGTGTTCAAATAATGGTCTTACAATTAGTATTTAAAACGTCAGTCATCATTTGACTCAATAACAAATTTTTTTTTTGCTAATTTTCCTGGAAAAAAAAGCTTCAATTCAGGGCATAAATTTTTAATATCTTGAGCAAAAGGATTTGTCTTATTATATTAACTTTTTATTACCTAATTTCACATTTACCTTTCAAATATATGTATTGTTTGTAAAAAAAATAATAATTTGAATACCTGTACCTTTAAAAGTTAAAATTACTGTTTAAAGAAAGGGTATATTTGTAACACTTGTCGCCGAGAGGAGATATATTCCATCCAAAATGTCACATATTGTGTTACACCCAGTGTTTTATTTATGTTTAAGGAGGCTCATTACACCACTTTTTGATGACGTTCTACACAAAAAAATATACCTCCATTGTGTCGGCCGGTTTGCTCAGGGAACGAGTAGTGTAGGAACCTCTATAATATGACCCTGACCTTAAAAGCGTTTAAAAATAGATGAAACATGCGGTGTTGTAAACAGTGAAAACAAAGTAACGGATTCATAAATCATTATGCATAAACCAAGAAGAATTGCTTTTAGGCAGAAACAAAAGAAAGCAACAGTCAAATCTTCGGAAAACAAGTAATGTCAATTTCATAGCTATGCATGCAGTGAACTCTATCAATCACTTACATTTATGTATGGAAGAAATTCGAGTTAAAATCTACAACCTTGTTGAAATTAAAATTTTATTTAATTGCGCTATTTACTGTGTTGGTGTTAATTTATATATTTGTTTTATTGATTTAAATGTATACTCTGGCAATTTAAAGCTTAGATGTAATGTCAAACGTTCCATAGTGTTTTGAGTCTTGGCTAATTAGGAAAGATAACTCTTGAAAGTGGACTTTTTATACCAAATATTTTTTAAATTGGATTTTTCATTTCGTTTAAACATTCTTCATTCAATTTGACACATGTAATTTATTGAAATACATTCCTTGTCTCTTCAGAACACACTTTTTAAACGTTTTATGCATAGATTAAAAAGATAATGACATTAATTGTTTTTTAGGAGAAAATTATTTTTTCTAATAAAATTATTATCAGGTAATATGAGGTATTTTCATTTTGTGTACTTGTCTTAAGAAGATGCCCATCATTTGACACTGAAAGTCCTGAAATTCTGTGAATAATAAACCTGAAATAAAACATTTCACTAAAATAAAACAAAAACTAAAAAATTCTATAAAAATATTTATGATATCTATACCCCCATCTGGATATTTGACTTCTACATTATAAATGGTGCTGTTTTGAAATCTAAAATAAACTGTGGATGTAATGAGCCACCTTAGGATAGAATCCGATTATTTGAGACCTAAAGGCGCTTCGAACGGAAGTATGCCATACACGCATGTTGAGATGTTCAAGAGAGCTCCTTTATACAATTTATAGACACTGAACTACATTCACAGTGTGATCTTGTTAAACAATCTGTTTTTTTACTTTGTAATAATCTAGCAATACCTATTTTAGATGTCTTCTAATTAAACTACTTGTGCATCTATTTAAGAAACGTACAGAGTAAAAAAATACACTACAAATAAAGTGTATTTTTTAACCATTCTACTTTGTCTTACGTATATATTAGCAGATAATTGAGAAGAACCTTTCATCCGTGTAAAGAGTGTATTTTTTATCTTAAAAAGTCACCGACATATCCATTTAGCTGTAGAATCGTAGCTCTCCGAAAAAAAATATACTGACAGACCGCAGAGCAACAGTGCCAGTTTACCCATTGTAAAAAAAAACTGTAGATTTATTGTGCACTAAAAGTGGCGCATGGGTTAGAGCGTCTGCTCTGGAGTCGCGAAGTAAGGAGTCAATCCTTACGTCGCGGGTTCGAATCCCACTGTGGGACGTGGAGACCGGTCCTTCGGATGAGACCCTATAAACCAAGGTCCCGTGTCGCAGTAGGTGCTGACACGATAAAGATCCCTCCCTGCTCAATGGCCCTGAGTGCCGAGTATAGGACAAAATTTGTAGCTCTCCACCGGCAAGTGGTGACATCTCTTTATGAGTGAAAAATTCTCGAGAGGGCCGTTCAACAATATACAATCAATACTCCTCCAATCGGCAATCCTCGGCTGACTCCGCTACGCTCCATTCAAACCTCGGATGTGATAGGTGGAGGAATACGCATCAGATCTCTACATTTCTCCGCCGGAAACTACCTTTTCACTCATTTCATATTTCGCTCTGCCTAAAGTTCTTAGAAAAGGTTTCTTTATTTGTGTTATTCCTCGTGTTAATTACAACCAAATCTTAGTATTGTTTGAAAGCAAGAACACAGTGTTGGGCGTGCATCAAAGTAACTGGGATTTAAAAAGTATAATATTTGAATGAAATTCACATAAGATCACATGACTGAATCAGCAAAATGGAAGATCACCGTTCACGTCCGAGGTTATGTGCAAGGTACGAGCCACCCGAGGAACTCCGATTGATACTCCTCTATGAAGTACTTTCGTAGTTGACATCTGCGCATCATTGGTTGGATTGAATTATCTTTCAAACCGAAAGGGCAGTATACAAAAATAAAATCTTCGAGGATCTCAATTTCAGGGACTGGAGGGCTATTATCTAGAATTATAGGGAATGTTTGTTGCGGAAACAGTGGAAGAATTTGTAAGAACACACGGTAAGTAATATTTTAATATGACAGTTTAGAAACATGGAAATATAAATCGAGAAACAACACACTTTTTTGTGCGCAATAAATATACAGTTTTTTGAAAAGGTGGAACTGTAGCTCTCCGGTCTGTCAATATATTTTTTTTTTTCGGAAAGCTAGTTTTTTAGCTTATATCCATTAGGACCCTACCTGTACAAGGTTTTGCAATCTTATTATGATCTTTTTAAAGTATTTCAATAAAGAGGGCAACATTACAATGCAAAATCTAATAAAAACGCAAAATTTATTAACAACGCAAAATATATTACAACGCAAAATGTATTAACCAAGCTTATAAGGTTATTGCATTAGAGTAACATACCGGTATATAACATTATGCGTCCAGATCAACGAATTCGAAGATTGTGATAAAGCAAAATTTAACAAAAGACTTTTAAAGATTATTGTCCCCTTCTTGAAAAGTGGGAGATATTGATTTGGGCCTGTCCGTCCGTCTGTCATTCTGTCTGTCTGTAACGCTTTCGTTTCCACAGGATATCTCGAGAACCCTTTGAGATTTCGCAATGAAATGTTGCATATCAACTCCCTATGGACTAAAGAAGAAAACTATTGATTTTAAAGTCAGAAGGTCAAAGGTCAAGGTCATAAATTCGCAAATTCTGTCTGTTATAACACTTTTGTTCCCGTGCGATATCTCGAGAACCCTTTGAGTTTTTGCAATGAAATTTAAAAAAAACATATCCCTGTGGCCTAAGGAAGACCCCTATTTATATTGAGGCCAAAAGGTCAAAGTTCAAGGTCATAGATTTATACATTATGTCTGTGTGTAACACTATTCTTCCCGGGTGATATTTCAAGAGGTTTTGCAATGTAATTTTATACCGAAACTCCCTAGGACCTCTCTAACCCCTCTGAAAGTGTCCCGCCCGTTTTTTTTTTTTTTAGTATTTATTGTATTACATGTCGCTTTTTTTTTTAGCACAGGGGCATAAGGAGAGTTATTACGTATAAAAGAGGTTCTCGGCGGACTTTATATTCTTATTACATTAGAACTGTTTAATAAAGGTTAAATATTAGACACCATGCATTGTGTAAAATTTTGACAATATCTAACATGAATATATAAAAACATGTATATGACTTCATTTATGCATATAATTTTCGCTAAAGTAAAGCAGTGCCGTGGTCTAGTGGTATGTCTCTCGCTTCACATGTGAGAGGTCCCGGGTTCGAATTCTGGATGGTCTATTTTCTTTTTTTTTGAAATACTTTTTCTTTACTAAATGACAGTATTCAGCATGTGAAATGAAAAATTTATGAGGTCTGGCTTGTACAAACTGATAAATTCTCTGAATTAGCTTGTTATATTTTGCGTCGAGATCAACTAAAACTGTAAAAGCGTAAAAAAAATAAATGTTGAAATTTAGAAACGTGCCTTCGACAGGGGATAGATGTTGAGGTCTTTGTGGGTTTTGAACATTTTCACTGACATTTCTCTATAGTTACCATGGCAACACCGTTCATCGAAATCCAAAACCGATACACAGAATTGTGTATCTTAGTGTCTACATGTGTGCCGAGTTATATAAAATCAGACAAACACTGTAGGAAGAGTAGCATTTTGAAAAATTTTACAGACAGACGGACCGACAGTCTTTGACCAGTAGAGCTAAAAAAAAAAACAAAAAAAAAAAAAAAAAAAAACAAATTCAAAGGATTGTTGTCCCTCGTTTTTGGAGTCTCTGTGGGTGAGCTGTCATTTTTTATGACATGCTGTGTCAAATATAAACGCCCTTTCATATATCATTTAGAAATTAGTAC